GACTCCATCTAGCACTTTGTCAATATATTAGGAACACAATTACCCCCATTTTATAGACAGGGATACAGAGTCCCAGAGAAGAGAAATAGATTCATAGAAGTCAGGTCGGAAGGGACCTTGCAGATCTTCTAATCCGACCCCCCGCCTTGGCAGGAGAGAAAAAGGGGCTCAAATGACCCCAGCCAGGTAAACGTCAAGCCTAGAGGTAAGAAGCAGACCACCTATCTCCATGACAGAAATATGAGTGTCCTTCCTCCCATAGAGCAGAAAGCATAAACAGATTAGATCGCTAGACAAATTAGCGTCCTTGAAACTTGAGTATAATTTTTCCACTCCCATCTGTATCTGTTCATGTCTTTCAATTGTCAGCTCTTCAAGGCAGGGATTTAGGTTTTCATTTGCTATTTCTGACCTGTGGGAAAGCTCTGTGTACATTTATGATGTGATATAAATAATAAATGAGAATACCATTGATATTGCTCTATATTTAGTAAGCGCCCTATTTTGCTGGGTTTTTTAGGGCTGCAGGAGCCAATTTGGGGCCGTCACTTTCTCACGGCATTACTCCTGAGGGCAACTGCATGCAAAGCTCTGTTAACTCTGTGGTGCCTTAGTTTGTGCTGTAAAACCAGAAGGCAGGGCACAATCTCTCACTCCTTTCCTCCTGGTCAGCCATTGTAAATTTCTCCACCACGCTCCCTGCAGCAAGAGTTTCCCCTACTTGAATTTGCTTCTATTATTTACCCCCGTATCCCTTAGGAATATGGCAAAGAATTTCAAATTTTGTATTGAGAATGCCTAGCAAAAAGATGATGCAGGATAACTGGGATCTCTGCTGGTTTGTGGGATCTCTCATGCCAAGACTGAGGGATGCTCACTTTTTATTTCAATAAAATCTGTAGATTTCTGGTGACATTCCATCTGGGCTGGGCCCATTTTACAGAAGAGGGGGGACAAATGAAGGTCAAAAGTCAACAGGAGGAAGCAAGTCCCTTTAGAGTTAGTTTCTTCTCTGCCTGGCACAGCTAGTATGCAAAGTATATGCTAAAACAATGGCCAATACTAGAGGAACATGGGGCTTCAGGAGGTGACTCAAGATAAGCTGCATAGCCTGTGTCCTTCTCTCATCGAGAGGCATTAGAATAATCAGAAGCACAGATTGTTTTTACTCATATTCAGCAACATGCTCCTTTTATTTTCAGTCAAATTTTAACCCCTTTTTCCCCTTAATTTTTTTCCCCACTGGATGCCAAGGAAGCAAAGGGTTCCCTACAATCATACTATGTTGGGGAGATCTCACAGGCTAAGTCGGACCTACTCCATACATGCCTGATCAGACCCAAGCATCCCAGCATGCCGTTGCATCATTCAAACTGCCCTCTTTCAGTGAGACTCGAAACTAAGGCTGTGATACCAGGGAACCTTTTTGCATCCACTGGTGTATTAGCTCTTACAGCCTACCCCTCAAAACTCTTCTGAAGTTTCAGCTGGATATGTGACTTTCCTTCCCCACTTCCAGCTAACTGTCAAGCAGTGGTGCTTCCTGCTATTGAACAGCTACCTGTGAAACAGCTACTACAGTAAGAGTTGTTGCTACCCTTCTGTGTAGCTTGGAGCGCAGTGCCAGCAAGCTGTGAACTTCCTTACCTGGAAAGGGCGTGGCGAGGAAGTGCCCTTTGATGGTTTGGTTGGCGGTGCCCAGCTTGTTGGTAGCCACGATGGTGTAGTTGCCATTATTGTAGTGAGTGGGTTTGTTGAACAGCAGGCAGCCCTCGGACACTTCCCCTTGCTGGTAGAACTCCATGCGGATGATCTCCGTCTCCCTGAGGAGCTGGCCATTGTGCAGCCAGTAAAGGCTGGGGGCTGGGTTTCCATGCACCACAAACTCAATGCAGTGCTCCAGACGCAACTCCGGCTCCTCCAAGCTCAGGATGCGTGGGGGATCTAGCAGAGAGAAACACAATGGGAATAGGTGGGGCCTAGGCCTACAGTAGACATTCAAACACCTCTCTCCCATGGTTGAGTGAGCAATGTGCATAACCTATGTTTTAGCTCAGCTACACTTCAAGCTGGACTCCTCAGTAGGCTGCTAGCACCGAGTAAGCTCCCAAAGGATCTGGAATGGAGCCCAAAAGGAGCTCAGTCTGGCCTTGGTGGTAGGAGGGCAGCTGAGGTACTCTTACTGAAGAGTCCTCTCCTTTCTCTCTGCTACTGGTCAAACTAACCTGACCTGGTCGCAGCTCTGAGCCGCTCTTTGCAGGCTTTGCAGCACTCATGTTCAAGGCCCTACATAAGATATGCCTGAGCGTTGTTTCTATTCAAGTTAACAGGCATCTAGCGAGTGATGCAGAGCACCAGTTTCTACAGCTAAAATCCCCAGTCAAGAGAGAAAATAACCTACCCTTCCCTGCACCGAGCAACACATACAAGGTGATCACTAAGATTTTTCAATGAAGCACGGAGGGCTCATCCTATGACACACCTTCCTCTCCAGACTACCCCTTTCAGTTTAACCCCAAAGTGGCTGTGCTTCACAGCAGCCTTGTCCCCACTGTAGAGGATTAAAGAGGGTCAGGAAGAACAGCCACCCGAGGTTCAACGCTGAGCCATTTCTCTCCTACACAGATGGAGCACACTAAACCTTGCAGCTCCACTGCTCTCAGAAAGCAGCTCTGAGACCAGGCCTCCAGCCCAGATCCTTGCCACAAAGGTCCAGCAGGCTACTGTGGCTTAGGCACACCAGTTTCTGTACCCAACAGCACTCAATAGAGAGATGTAGCCAGCGTTACAATAAGTTGCCTTTGGTTCCCCAGTCTGAATGACCAGGGACCTACTGCCAGCTAGGTTAGCTGAGGGCAACCATGGGCAGGAGTCCAAAGCAGGGCCTGAATTCATACTTTCAGAGCAGATACCTTAACTTCTGTGCCACCGCTGCCATGCTCCCCACCCCATTTAATCATAATGAAACAGCCCGACCCTAGTAGGGAAGCCATGCAGGCGAGGCATAACTGAGTACATGTCTCAGGGGCCGACTGGGGTTCTCTGGCCACAGTCAACAGTTTAGGATTTCACAGTCATTCAAGCAATATCCCTCCAGGATCCTTTCCAGCTGGATGTTCTTGGGAGGTGCGACTAGTGGAACCCCTCTGGGAAGTTTTAATTGCCTGAGTTTCCAGGGGTGTTAGAGAGGGAGGTGAGCAGGACAGATTAAAACAGAGAGTTCCCTGCATTGGATGGGTATGTATTATCCCTTCAACTAAAGTGCCCCCGACTCCAGAGATTCAGCCTGCCCTAAGGCAAACCCAATGCAGCATTTACCTGTATGACCCCAAACCCTGAAGCTGGATAGCATGAGCCAGGGTGGCATGGCACTGCTGTGTAAGGGTCACCATAGCATAAGATGAAGGGAGTGAAAACACTCCTTTCCTATCCCTTCTCATTTTCCTGGCTACCATACCACTGCAAGTCCCTTGGGAGGCTCCCTCACCAAGAACACACCATCCATGTCCCTCTCCATTTTTCTAACAGTAGTGAATTTTTCATGTTGTAAACACAATGAAAAAACAGTGCTGAAGGGCGCATGGTATACAGCTGGCTGGCATGGCAGGCACGGCATGGGTCTTCCTTCACAGCCCTGCTGATGCCCTGCCATCCTGACCAAGAGCACGGGCTGTTACTCCAGGCACAATGCTGAAAGTCCCATCAATCTTGTGTCACGCATAAGCCTAAGTCAGGATGTGACTACACAGGTCTCTTTGGGTAAATGACTAAGATGGTATCAAAGCAGCCAGCCACCTAAACCCAGAAATATCAGCTCTTTTCAGAATGACATTTCAGCCTATGAGTGATGAGGCCTCACAGTGAGAGCAGACATGGGAGAAACTGTCAGTGGCTTGCAGGATTACAGTTGGGAAAATGGGCAAAAATGACCTTTAAAGGGTATGGAGTAAAAACAAAAAGACTCCAGAGAAGGACACGTAACCTGTTCTCATACACAGGCTTCTCAGAGCTGTAGTGGTGCAAATTTGAGTGCCTGGGCTCTTCAACACCACACACCAGAGCAGTGAAGCAGCCCTTGTTTTCTCCTTCCAATACCCCATTTTCTGTGACTGCCTTATCTCGACAGGAGTCCAGCAGTCCCTGCACTGCATGGGACATGGGAAGTACATTGTGCGTTTCAACTAGCTAAAACAGGACATGATTCCCTAGTAGGTGAAGGGAAGTGATTTGTCCCCTCTATTCACCACTGGAGAGGCCACATCTGGATTACTGTGTCCGGTTTTGGACCCCCACTCCAGAAAGGATGTGGACAAATTGAAGAGTCCAGTGGAGGGCAACAAACATAGTTATGAGGATGGGAGAGATGACTTATGAGGAAAGACTGAGGGAAATTGGCTTATTTAGTCTAGAGAAGAAATACTGAAAGGGGACTTAGTAGCAACCTTCAACTATCCAAAGGGGGGTTCGAAAGAGGATGGAGCTGGACTGTTCTCAGCAGTGGCAGATGACAGAACAAGGAGCAACAGTCTCAATTTGCAGCAAGGGAAGTTTAGGTTAGATATTTGGGAAAATTTTCTCACTAGGAGGGTAGTGAAGCACTGGAACAGGTTACCCAGAGAGGCAGTGGAGTCTCCATCCTTGGGGGGGGTTTAAGACCTGGGTAGACAAAGCTTTAGCTGGGGTGATCTAGTTAGGGATGGCCCTGCTTTGAGCCTCCTGAGGTCCCTTCCAACCCTCAGTTTCTATGATTCTGTGATTCTCTAGTACCAGTAGGTGAGTAGGGGCAGGGAAAGCTTTCTAAAACATAGGCTAAGAATAAGCGATGTGAACACAGCAACATCTGGTAAATCCCCGGTGCCCAAGACAGCAAAGCTGTGTAAACCTCCTGTTAAGGTCAGGTTTGTGGTAAGTTATATTAGGAAGCACAATGAACATTCAGCTGGTTTCAGTCTACATATGAATGGTCTTAAGCCTTGTTCTACATGAGTTCATCTAATGGTTACAGGTAAATCGGCTCAGAACAGATTTGGGGTGAAATGTGAAATCAATGGTGGGACTTTAGGACTCCAGCAAGATCGGGGATTTGGCCCTGGGATGTCAACAAAGTGAATAATTTGCAAGCACCAGGACAATGTTTTAGCCCCGATTGGACTCTTCCTCCATTAACTGGGTTTTCTGGAAAAAGCAGGTACATTCCTGCTCTGTGAGCACAAACAGTCATTTGCATGTGCTAGATAGGATGCAAGACCTGCAGCTGCTCATGTAGCCAGGCCACCCAAGCAAGCAAATGGGCACCTGCTCTATCAAGGCAAACATGGGACTACCACGCTTCACCTACTGCATGCCCACTTCTGCAAACAGGTAATACTGGAGGTGAGAAGACAGCAAAATATTTTTCCACACCATGCAAGAACTGGCCCCTTCCTCAGCACCACTGGACCCCAACTCCTCAGCCAGAGGGGCAGCAATTCAAGATGGACACATCACAGCCCAGTGGCACAGGTTCAGTTCCCCACATGGCACACATTCAAGTATTTTCCATGCTCCCCCTTCCTCTGACCTCTATGAAGCCAGTCTCCCTGCCTCTACTTACAGTAGACTGTGAGCAGCACGCTGGCATTGGTCATTCCCACCACGTTCTCAGCAATACATGTCAGAAGGAACCCGTTATCCTCGCTGGTGACATTTACCAAAGTTAGATTGATGGCATGAACATTGGTCCAGTTTAGGTTGGTCTGAAAATCCCAGAGAGAGACAGTATAGACAAACACAGCAAATAATGCCTTTTTCCCCACTCACTTCATCCCCTCAATACCCAAGACTCCTGACTCCTCTATTAAGATACCATGCTGTTGTCAACGCCACAGCCAGGAAAGATTGTGGCGCTACGTCTCTCACCAATGCAAAAGTGAGCCTCACAGCACATGCTCCAAGCAGGTTATAACCACAGCTTTGGAAACAAAGGGAAACAATTTGCCTTGGTTAAGCTAGCCATGTTCAGCACTTCTTCACCGCACTTAATGGTGACATAGCCTTGTCAGCAATAAGTAACATTGCTGGTATAAACAGAAGTTAAGATACAATCCCGTAAGAGCAATGGTTCTCCTGACATCACCCAATGTCTTCTTTCACACCCTTAACCCTATACTCACCTATGGCAGCTTTTCTGACTCAGGTGCGGGCTATGCAACCCAGACAACACTGTCACTGTTTCATTTCTCTCTCTTTCTTGGTAACCCCCAGCACCCGTCAAACCCAGGGACTTGGAACAAACAGGGAAACAAAGACCTGGAAAGTCCCCTCTACCAACACCACGTCTTCTGAATCATGAGTGACAGGTTCATTGGCAAAAACAATCCATGTCCAGCCACCCAAATCCCTTCACCTCCTACCTGGTGAGTGTTGATGGAGTGGAGGTCAGCGACAGTCCAGTCTACATCTGGCAGCGGCGAGCCCGAGCCATTGCAGGTGATCACAGCGTTCTCGCCTTCTCGCACAGTCAGGTTAACATGACTGACACTGATCTCAGGGAGATCTAAGGGAGCCAAACACCAAAGTGCTTAGGGTAGTGACCAGCACACACCATGGCCAACTAAGACATGGAGATTTTGAACCCCAGGGGTTCATTTCCTAAACAGGCTTCACCTTGCAACAAAAACAGCCTGTGCTATCCTGAGCTTCTAAGTAGAGAGGAAGGGAAGGGAAAACGTATTTCTACCCAGTGCAGGTGATGGCAGGTAGCTGGGCCTTTTCAGGCTTAGAAGTAGTGACATGGGAACTTTGCACTGTGCTTTGCAACTGGAACATCACACACCAGTTGGAAAGTGCTGTCCAAGTTTTTCTCACCAGCCAAACCCTCATACCCTTTGTCCCCTTTCCCACAAGCCCCCTGCACTTCCTCCCTGGAAGGTCTAGGAAGGTTAAAGTGATGAGAGGAGGATATTGTTTTACGAGATCCAGTATGAACTAAAACAGGGAACGCTGTTACTGGCACTGAAGGTGAAGAGAGAGTTCTCCTCTAATTTATAACAATCAAGGGAAGATGACCAAGGATGTGTCCTCGTATTAACAGAATCTCTACTCATAAAAGGTGCCCTTGCTCTTCCCTCCAAAAAGACTCACTGATTTAGAGCAGCTCTGATTTACACCCCTTCCCACTGAGTTGTCACTGGCATCAAATACTCACACAGTGAGCAACCAACACTGCCAGCAGTTATGAAAAGGGGAACGGACAAGTGGGAGGATTACAGGGTGCAAGTGGGGGGAGAAGAAAGACCCTGAATGAGATGGGGCTAAAAAGCAACTAATTCATGCAATAGCTGCTAGTTGGGGGGGGGGGGGGGTCTCCCCCTGAAGACTTTGGCCCAGTAAATTCAGTGTTAGGGGTTTCTTACTTGTTTCAGTCCAAGTGGACAAAGGGCATTAGGGGTTGGCTGGTAAGCAAAACTTGGACAGAACTTCCCAACGTGTGTGCCCAACTCTGGAGAAGCAGCAGAAAAAAGCAAGGATGCTGTAGGGCTAGGACTAAGAGGCACTGGCACAGACAGCCCCAGAGGCACTAGTTTACTGTTGAAAAACATCAATCTAATGGGGCAGGGGCTCTGGAAGAAAACCTGTGGAATATCCTGCCATGGTTTACATCACATCAGCCCTGTGCCACCCATGCCAAGGACCCAGGACAATACACACAGATCAACTGGCCAGAATCTTTTACGTCCATGTGGTGCTGAGCCACTAAAACTCTGAACCAAAGAGCAGTTTCAGAAGGAAAGCATCTTAGCTTCTTCCCCTGTTAGAGGAGTGCAGGTCATATGAGAAACCCAAGAGATTTGTGTACATAAATCAACACCCTGCAGCCCTCCGAAATCTAATAATAGATGAAGTCACCTCTTCCCCAACCCTTGATCCGTAAGGACTTTTCCTCTAATCTTTGAAGATTACTCTTCCCATTTGTAGAGGAAATTACAGCTGTCTCTCAAATCTTTGCAGTTCACCTACATGCAGGCTGTTTGGCTAACGTCCAGGGTTTAATAAAGGAGGCTTAGAATAAAAAGGACATCAGAAACTTGAAAAACCATATTTCCCTTGGAAAACTATTTGTATATTATTTGTTATAAGAAACACCCTAAGATTTTTGGAAAAGAAAGGGATCTAACCCCTGTGACACATGCACATACACACCATGCATTTCCCCTCCTTCCTAGTCTGTGCATTTGACAGCACTTCGCATATAGACAATGTAATTATTCTGTTGATAGTGGCTGCCCTTCCCCAGATGCTGCAAAGGGGTGTTTGCCAGTAACAGCGGTGGCAGAGCTGAAATTAATACTGAGAAAAGGGAGCAGAGGTGGGTGAACAAAAAGCAAGTGGGGTGGGGTGGGGGGAAGGGGCAGACCTGATTTGTGTTGCTCTTGATCTCATCCAAAAGACTCTGCTCCGTATCAAGAGAAAGAGGGAAATTACTTACAGGAATATGTGCACACGCACAAGCATACACACGCATTTGTGAGCGCAGATAATTTTATATATTATACCAGATGTTCTCCACCTTTTCAGATTTGAGGCACCCATCAGAAAATGCCAGCTTTTATTAGTTTTCACATGTTTTTTTGACTACAGACAAATACTAGAAGCAATTCTTCTGTTGCAAAG